TAATTGCAACAAAATTATCTATAGTGTTTATTAAAAATAGATTCTTAGGCTCCACATTAAACCTATTGAAGCAGCATGCCTGAGGAATGTGGCCCAGGAATCTGAATCTTGGTAAGCTCTTCAGGTGATTCTTCTGCATATTGAATTTTGAGAAGCTTGCCTTGTGGACATATGTCATAACCTGATTGCCCATTAGAATAACCCAAGAGAGCTTTAAAACATATAGATGCCCAGACCCTACCCCAGACCAACTGTATCAGCGTCTCTCCATGCAACAGCATTTTTAAAGGCCTCCAGATCATCCAACATGCAGCCAGGGTTGAGGCCCCTGGCTTTAAGCAAAGGTACATCAAGAGTCAGGCCTGGAATGCTCACCACCTTCCCCATCTGAACATTGCCTTCTGGTGTAAGCTAGAGGAATTCAGACTGTATCCCAATTAAAGAGGACATGACTTCCCTCGGTACAATTATAACTTATTTTTCAGTATCCCTAGCTTGAATACATAGCAAGGGCTTGTTGGTCATTTTCTGAAATAAATTCAATTAAATGAGCAAAAGGAAATTAGTCAACATGTAGATTAATAAAATGTTCACTAAGTCCTATATATCCCACTGGATCAACAAATCTAAACAATGCAGAGGAACATTAGGCTGTGAGAGGTATAGAAATGGCCAAATGCAGCCCTTCTCTTTAAGTGTCCATGATCTGGGAGGTGGAATACATATGGATAAACCACACACACACACACACACACACACACACACAAAATAAAATAAAAAGTTAAAAAATAAAAAGTATTTGACAAATAAGCAGACAGTGATAACAGTTTAGATAGTAAAAATGGTAATTCTGAATGGCAGGATCTAGGAAGGCATTGCTTGCTGAGGGCCATTGCCAAGTAGGAATGACGCATCGAAATTTCCTTGCCAGCGTACCCCATGTTGCTTAGAGGAAGGACTCGTGGAAATGGACTTGCCTTGGACATTCGCTGTGACATTGCATGTGTGTTTGAGAAAGGTGACCCTGCTCAAGGACCAGGGTGGATCCAGGTTTAGGGTGTATCCTGCAGGTTTTAGGAAGTATCCCGCTCCTTGGGTTTAGGGCGGTCCTGGTTTAAGACAATCTGGGTTTAGGGCGTTCCCGGTTTAAGACAATCTGGGTTTAGGGCAGTTCCAGGTTTAAGGTTATTCCTGCTGGGAATAGGATAAAAAGCCTGGTGGAGTACGTGTATTGGGCGGCAGAACTTGGATTTCCCCAGAACGTGTTTGTACAGGGCCGGTGTGAGTTCGGGAATAAAGGATTGCTGTTTGAATATACAAGGTGTGAGTGGCTCGTGATCTTGTGCCCAGCCAGACTGCGGCAATTGCTGAAGACTCGGTATCCAAGACTGACCTTGAAGTATTGGTGGGACTTAAGCAGGAGGCAATTAGGAAAATGGACAGTTGTGGTACAGGGCAGTTCTGCATAGCACAAGCTAAGTCAGATGGGCCTTTCTCTCACATTCACACAAGGCCGTAGGGCAGACATTAAAGGCTCTTTTTCTTCCTGACTTCCTTGTTATTACTCTCATTTTTCAAGTATTTTGCCTCTGGTTTATTAATTCTGCCTCCTGGTGCCCCAGCTGATTTCTTCTAGGAACAGTTTCTCATTAGCATTTCTATAGGGACACCTGCTACCCCATCTATCCCTATTAACCAATGGCCAGGGCAATGGGGTTGACGGGGAGAGAAATTTTAATCCCCTCCTATGACTCATCTATTTTCTAATTGAGACTGTCAGAGCTAAAGTCACAAATGGCTTCCCAGTGAAATCCATCCTCAACATGAAAAACTGTAACAAAGACATGCTTCTCAAAAAAAAAAAAAAAGACATGCTCCTCAATTTTCTAATATCATCTGTGTAAAATAAATGTATTAAAATAAATACACCTTATGATTGTGAAATATTCTCAAAGCCTCAGATAGCCACTTGAATGTGAAACTCCCAGCTAGTATGAATGCATGAATTTTACGAACTATTGAATAACGAAGGTTTCTCAAAACCGTACTCAAAGGATATCTAATACTATTAACTGGCTGTCTATTAGCATATATATGATTCTGAAAGCTGAATTGTATTTTATGTTATATACCGATATATTATGCTGATAGATTATGTGTCCTTTCTCAAGCAAACTGCTCACATTGATGTCATGTGACAGATGTCACTTGTAAAGCCCATGAGAGGAACCAGTCACCATGGTATAAATATACCATGATTTATGGCAGAAGAAAAGATTTTATAAATCAAATTTATCATTGAAATGGAGTCTTACTTGCTTTCTGTGATGATGTAAGGCCCACCTACAGTGGACATGGGACATACTTAAATTCAGTAAATATCCAGAATTATAGCAAGGAAAATAATTTGAGATAATAGGGAGGGAAATCAAAGTTCCAGGTAAGCCTATAATTCCTTAGCATTTCTCTAATACTGTATTTCTCTAATAGTGTATTTAATCTATTAAATATCTTATTTCTTTCAAATTTTATTTCACCCAAAGTGTATTTTTCTGTCATTGGTTAATTTTTATTCTGGAACAAAAAATAATGTGAAATTTCACATCAAATTTGTCTTACACACAAACTGTTAATTAAAGAAATTAATGTTTCTTAGCAACACTCGTTCTCTTAATGTTTCAAAATGCTTTGACTATCAAGCAAAAAGGCACTCGTGGCCCAAAGTCATATTATCATTAAATTTTAGAGAAGACCTGAATTGTTTTTTTGAAAAAAATTGTGAAGTGTTCAAAGATTTTTCTTAACAGGTTGATACAGTTTTAATAGTTCCTAAAAAATAGTCATTCTCACCAGCTGCACGAGCACAGCCTTCCCCTACCCAATCTAATCATTTCCATATGTGTATAATTCAAACTGAAACATAACATGCTTATTACATGTACAGCTAAGGTTTTGTTTTAAGGGAAAAGGCACAGAGCAAAGGTACAAACCAAAATTTGGTACAAACCAAAATTTTCATCCGACAGGTTGCAGTCATTCCTTGACTGACCAATAATCCAGAAACAAAACAAGTCCTACAAATTAGGGAAAATAAACTGAATAGGAGGTTTGAGAACCTGGGCCCTCTCCTGTGACTGTCATTAACTACATGGAGGTGAGAAGAGGTAGCTTCTGCCTAGTGGGTGGTGAGGTTCCACCTGCCGTAGGATGGTAGAATGGGAAGAGGAAGATGAAGCCACAGACCAGCGATCTGTAATGTTGGGCCAGCCATAGGGTTCTCAGGGAATGCAGTAGGACCTTATAAACAAGAAATTCATTGCAGAACCAGAAAACTGCCTCTTGGTTTCATTTATGCTCCTTGCTTATTTGTTTCCTTTCTTGGTAACAGCATAAAAATATTATGAAAATTCCACCTCATTGTGGCTATCCAAAGAAAAGGATATGTGTCCTTGTTTGATCCAGAACTTTAAAAGGAAGCAATGTATTTCTAGGAGAACAGTGAGGTTGTGATAGCAGTAAATCAAGAGAGAGATGGTAAGTAGGAGGTGAAATTTAGGAAGACAAGGTAAGATGTCTCCATATGCTAGTTTTTTCTTGGCATGGGAGAAAGTGTTTGTCATGTTCATTGGAGGACATCAGTCTGATTGAAGGTATGTATGGTACCTTATAGGGTATTGGCAGAGGACACTAATTCTGCAACCTGCCCCCCACCCTCAGTCACCAGGAAGAAGGCAACTAATTCCTGTGGTACTGATGAAGGACCCCATAAGCCACATTTTGAATACCTCTAGCTCAGTTATTCATTATGCACATCTGCTTCTTTAGAGACCCCAACCCAGTGTTACATTTTCAGCCAACTGTGATTGGTTAGCTAACTGATGTTGGTTGAAACATAAGGGCAGGTGAGAAAACAGACTGAAAGGATTGAGACTGCAGCAGAGGGAGAATTTGGGAGTGAGGAGATGCTTGAAGACATTCATTTACAAGGAATTTGAACCTTGCTAAAGACGGAGTTCTTGGTGGTGAGAGAGTAAGAAACACATCTGGAGACCATGAAGGGCAGAGAGAGAGAAAGGAGATGCCTCATTAGGAGAAATGGGCCCAGGCGTCTAGGAAGTAGAAATCAGAGCAATGAAGCATCCTGTAGAAGGTCAGAATGGAAACGAACTAATGACCACTATGTCCCTGGCATGAGCAGTCCTCCAGAATCCTCACAATGTCAGCACAGTGCTTGGCCTATAGTAGGTATTGAAAAATACCCTGGATGTTTAACTTAAAATCAATAAATCATGGAAAAACACTAAGAGATATCTATTATTAATAACAACTTACAGCTAAGAACCTGGCCCTGAAAAAGATTGAGAAATTTGACCAATGTGTGACAGCAAGTAAGAAGCAGGAGGAAAATGACTTCAAAGTCTGAGTGATAGAGGAGGAGGGTGATTTGTAAGGACCTGAGGAGAAATCTAGAAAAGGGTGTGGTGCTTGAGTGTAGCCCAGAGACTGAGAGATAAAGAAGAATGAAGAGCCAAAAGAAGTGTTCTGGGGAGGAGGGTGAGAGGTCACTTGGAAAGTATTCTTCTAGAAGGATGAGAACCCTGCAGGAAGACAAGGTAGGTGGGCAACAGTGAAGCCAGCAAGGGGCAGCGGCCAAGTTAATGCAGCAGGTGAGTTGCAGGGAACAGAAAGGAAGTGCAACCCAGCTGTGAAGAAACCTGCAGGGTCTCTTGTTGGGTAAGTGGGGATCTGAGATGAGCAAGGATGGGGGAAGGTGATTAAAGTAGTAAAGAGAAAGATCTGGGAAGGCTGGAGTAGTAACTAACAGCTTTAACACAGGACAAGGGAAGGGAGTATGCAGTGGGAGAGTGCCTGGCATGAGACTGGAGGACGGGCGTGGTCTGGCATGAGAGAGGAATGGGAATGTGTGGTCTGTGAAGGCAGTCTTCAGGAGAGGATAAGGGTGACCAGCCCCACTGCGAGAGCTGCTGCTGGTGTCTCACCTGTAGGAGCTGCTCACTGTACTGGTCACCTCCTCGCGGATTTGCCGGTTGAGGGCATCTGCAGCTGCGCGCCCCTTGCCACCCTCTGGGCCAGTGGCCTGGGCAGCTGGCAGCGGCGTCTGCTCGTGCCCCTCGGAGCGATGCACCATCCAGGGGGGCCCCGCCTTCCTGCGAGTGTCGCGCTCATCTGCACCAGACGCCTTTCCAGCCGCTCC